GTAGGAAGTTAAAAATCAATAAAGGAAGAGTGTGGTTTCTTTTAAAGGGATGAATTAACTTTAAAATTAAAGTCCGAGACTTCGTGTATGTAAATGGCCTGATGGACTGTTATTTATACACCACTGCTCTCCAAAACATTTGTGATTCAAGGAAAATTTGATTTACAATGTAGGAGGCCTAGCCTAAAAAATGCTAAACAATGACCGCCAACATTCTAAACAATAATCACCTCGTGGCCATAATGTTGGCCCTTCTTGTTTTGTATTCGTAAGTTTCCTCATGGTGGGTGCCACCATTGAGCCAAAAGTGATTTCGAAGATAATTTGAATGTTGATGGTTACTTATAGTTTGTATTCTTATAATAAGCCTCGGGTGGCTGTTTCTGAGAAGTCTTAGACTATTATATTTAATTAACTAAATGGTTATTCTCAGAACCGTCCAACAACGGTTCTGACCAACAACGGTTCTGAGCCCACAAGTATTTTTTTAACGTTATTTCGCTATGGAAATCTGCAAACAATTAGTGATTGTATTATTATTATTATTATTATTATTATTATTATTATTATTATTATTATTATTATTATTATTATTATTAATTATTATTATTATTATTATTATTATTATTATTATTATTATTATTATTATTATTAGGCAATAATATTATTAATTGATCGTATATCACAAAGCTGTACGGTATGCCAAGGTAAACGTGACACAATAGCAAAAATCCAACAAAAAAATTATATAGACGAGGAATACCCTAAAGAAGACTAGTTTACATCTTACGACATTTTAAACCACAAGACGATTTCAATCTCTTAAACTTATTACAGATTTTATTTGATCAGAAAGCAGATTCACTTTCTTTTATAAATCAAATTAGCACTTATCACCGTATATATAAATCTTTCAAACATAAAAATGTGTATTAATTGCCTTCTCAAGGATATATATATATATATGTTTATTTATTGATGTATTTATTTGGTACAATAAAAAAAAAACAAATATACAAAATGGCAGCCAAAGGCTGAAATGATTGTATATACAAAAATATATAAACATTAATATATTACTATACAAAATTTCAACAAGATAGAACAAACATTAAAATTACATAAAAAGAAAAATCACATTTGAAAATTAATTAAAACACCTAAAATTTCATTGATTACATCAAATTACGATAAATATAAAAATATAAACATATAACATTTGAATTAACTGTTGTAACATTGCAAAATCAAGTGAACTTTATTGCAATTACATGTGAAAGAAATATTGCCATCTAAGTACTGATCATTAATACATTAAAGACATGACATTTGCAAAAAGCTCCCATTACGCTATGTTGCATGCATGCTCGCAAGATGATTGGCCTCACCTCCATAACCAGAACATAGCCAATAATATCCAGAGGTAACGGAACTAGGAGGCGCACTTGCATGGGCCTAGCCTTTTATGCAAAAATTTACCGCGGTACTTGGTTAGAACAGCGTTGCTCTATGGTTAGAATTGAATATTTATTTAAGATTATGCACAATCATTAATGTTATTATTAAGAGCACACCTCATTTAGCACACTATACTTGATCCACACACTTCCACAAAAGTGTGTGTTTACCTTATTGTGTTCTCGTACAAATGGAATAGACCTTCATATTTACATCCTTATATATTTTTGGTAATTTTTTGACCTATTTTTGTTATCATCACTGACATTAAAATCTGAAAACAATTCATAAACACAGATTATCGTGTTGGCAATAAAGTGCATAACTGATGAAGATAAGGCTTTCACCATAAACCCATACATAGGTGGCGCTGTTCCCTATAGTTTGAGTTTGGCACGATAGGAAGGCGTTTCTCACCATAGTGTTTACCAGAAGAGTGCTCGTACCTTGTGCGATCTCGGGTTAAGGTTCATCAGATCCTACTAATTTCATAACCAAGCAACAGAACTCCTCAGCATGGCGTAGTTCATGGGGGATCCCAGGTTTATTTACAATTATGACAAGTGGCAGTACTTGATGTTTGGAGTTAACACTTTAACAATCAGTTAAATACTATATTCGCCTATCCATCAATATTCGTATCCAACCAATTCTCATAAAGTTACTCAGCATTTGTAATAATAATAATAATTATAACACTGCAAACACACACAATGGTATTCTAAATTCACTAACTTTGTGAACGTTTTTAATTATGAAAGAAACTAACACACGTTAATATGAGATACATATTTTTGAATATTTAGAAACAAGGTTGTGCTGGGGGGGGGGGGTGCGGTGAAGGGGCGTAACAACCCTTTTTAATCACCAGTTTTTGAATATTCAAAAATCTGTATCTCATTAACCGTTCCCGAATTTTTCGTGTCTTAGAAAAATCAGTTCCGATCTACAACATAGGCCTATCAATTTTTTCCTCCGAAGCCTGACTTTAATAATGTTATCTAGTTCGAAATGACGTTATACCCAGCTAAAAATATTACGTTATAAGAACGTTATAATAACGTTACAGATTGGTGTTAAAACGTTATTTTGTAACATCATAACGTTTGAACGTTCCTACAACGTTGTGTGAATGTTATTTTGTGACTTGCCTAACAAGAACGTTCGCAAACGTTATAAGATCGATTTGCGTTTGCTGGGTACATTTTCAACACCAAGCTGTAACGTTATTATAATCGTTAGCTGAGACTTAGCGTAGCACCATGTTTGCAATTTTTATTTTACAAGCTTAATAATACAATTAACTTTGTCATTCTGTTGTACACGTGCATTTGTTCCCACGCAGTTACTTTAATTTTCCCTTCATTGTGCATTAGTTGGGTGACAATTTGTGGCGTAAGACTAATAATAATGAAAGATCATGAATGCAACCGTATAACTGTACCACCATGGATGGTTAAATGATGTGTTGACGCAATGGATATTTTCCGACCGCCTCAATAAGTTCAAAATACTAAAGTGAATTACGTCACACAGACATCACATTTAAATTTGACACACGTCCAAAGCTCAGTAAGTAAATTTAACCATAATTGGCATAAAATCTACCATGGGATCTAAACAGGTCTACCCATAGCCCAGGAAGTCTAAAAATACTAGAATGTTTAAATAATTTAATAAGCTAAATAAAATACGATGGAATCACAGTACGTAGCATACAAAACATGTTGGTACAATTATTGTGTTGCTGTCAGAAAATCATAGGAACTTATTTCATTTTCATATCGAATAGTCTAGCAAACAACATTTGCGAAGATTCAACAATTTAAAATGGCCTCTGATTTTATGTGATGTTAGTGTAAATAACTCCATGGTGTAAGTAGAAGCGGCAATTGGTCTATATCGTTTAAATTTACTGATGTAGTGTTATATTTTTACTATTTTTGCTGGTCGTTTACCGCCAGGCTAAACAAACAAAAGATAGAGATCAAAAGGGTATTTGTGTCATGTTGATGACGACACAGACAGCGATGGCATCAGAACGATCAACCATAGTATATTATATATAAATACGTAGACCGTGGCATATCTAAAAAAGCTTCCACACTTTGGCTCCCCCACTGATCAAAACAATCGCTCAAGTAATTAAAAAATCACATCACATCACCTTATTTTGCCAGCTTGTGCACCCACGGTAAACCCCTCCACTTACTGTACCATGCCTTCCCCATCAGCCCTCCCGATGCCAATCTAGATATGCCTACGCCGAATTACGATAAAACAATTCTTTAAAATAATAGCAGTAAGCTCCATCATCACTTACGAATTAAATCAATTTGATTTAGAATGTAATATTTTATAAATTAAACAACGGAGTGAGTAGGTCATGGTCTACCTAGCGACAAATTATCTTGCACCACTTTTGTTGGGACTTGATTAAATATTTAGTTGATTGGTTGGTTGGTTTTTAATAAAATTTGAGCGCATGGCCTATAAAGTTTTCTGCAAGATTCATATAAGCCTAGTAATAATAGTGTAATTAATACTATAACGAATGTGCATGTGCGGCTATTTTTTTGTTTTGTTTTTGTTTTTGTTTTTATGCATTCATTTGATTAATGACAATGTTTAGGGGTTGTTTTTACATTGCGTCTTCAATTATTAGCGTTCTGTGAGATTTTCGCGTCCGATTTGTCTTGAAAATTGGTAATATTCAATCAGTAATATTATACCTGTATTTTCCTCACTACGCTGTGAATGATTTACAAAGTAAACATGATAATAATTAGGCCTATACCGTGTTACAATCGGATAAGTACACTTTTTTTTTTTATAAGAACACATTTTATAAGAACACTGAGGCTGAAATTGCTTAAAAATTAAGAACAAAATAAGAACAAATTGAAGCTGAGGTACAGTAGATTGTCAAACTAGAAAAACCAAAAAATTATATCTGTACCTTACGTGCAGTAGATGTGACTATATAATACAGTACAGTAGGTGTACCTTCCTCCCATTTGGGGCAATTTTTTAACCGGGACTATTTTTTGTGGGCCATTTTTTGCTGGGCCTTTCAGTCATGGGTCATTTTTTGAGGGGCCGCTTTCACCTCACAGTACAGTGTAGACTTCTGTACAATAATAATTTTCTATGTTTGAAAAGTGTGTAAAATAAGAACAAAATAAGAATATTTTGAGCCTGAAGTTGGCCAAAAAATAAGAACACTGAGCCTAGGCAAAATTTTACTGGTTCTTATTTTTAAATAAAAAGTGTATATAGGCCTATAATAGTAACACTGGCAACAAATTAGTAACACAAACAGTAACATTATTAGTGACAAACCAATTTCAGTGAAGATATCTAATTTGACGTATTAAGTGTGCTTTATGTTCAATATCGTTCATGTTAAAGTGGTGACTCATGACATATGGATCAGTTTAATTTACATTATATGACACTAAATTGACATTTTTCTTTTTCACAAACTCCGAACTGCCACATAGAAAATTTTGACTAAGATTTCCTTTATTTGTATTTTGTAGGTTCTGTCAAGGCTGAAGAAGCTTTCAGATTTAAGCGACAATCGATTCCTTTCCGTCAACTCTAAGCCCCGAAAGCTTTCCGTAGAGGAGGTTTACGGAAGTGACGATAGTGATTGCGTAATGTCACCCACACTCGGGGACGGTAAATGGGATTCGGACTATTTCTCGGCAGACCACAACGAAAACACAGACCCAATAAATAGGAACATCGCTCCATGTTTGGCAACAGATGCAGACACGGCAGAACGTAAATCTCAGCCAACATACACCACAACAACGCCCTTACCGCCTATTGACACGAATTTCCTTTGCAGTGCACCTTTATCCCCAGATGAAGGCTGCGTTGCCTCGCCAACAAGCGCGTATTCGTCAGCCTCGGACGGATATAGTAGTCAGAGCTGTCTGCCTCACAAAGAGTCAGCCGCCAAAACAAATTCTGAGTTCACATCATCTACGCTAAAAATGGGCAAGTTTTCACTTTTGAGAAAGTATAGGAATTCGATGGAAGCAGAGAATAGGGCTGTGACCGTGACAAACGTAACCGTGGGGGACATTACAGTCGCCATTAAAGAAAGTCTTACGACTGATGGGTTTTTCAGATATACGGAAGACTGAAAAAGAAAGTAATAAAACGAGGAAATAAGAAAACGTATGAAAAGTTGATACACGAGGCATTACGGAAGTGAAAGAGAAAATGCTAGAATAAACTATGCAAGGAATATGAAGAAGTTTAGACAGAAATGAAGCGGACTAAATAGTGTGTACTGACGACCTACAACTTGTAGGAATACGAATATTCAAGTGGAAGTTTAGTCCGATAGCGGGCAGAATTGAAGTCAACAGACATGGCGGCCACTTGAAAGATAAGGAATTACGAAAATGAGTAAAGCAACTTTACTCATTCACTGTAGAAATTACATGCGAGTTGGACTCTACTGTATAATTAGAACACATGAGAAAAGAAACATCTAATAATTTCACTGTATAAAATTTTATAATTGCGGTAACAAAAGACAACATTTTAAAGACCATGCCCAATTGCTTATCAATAAATCAATTTCTATCATTGCACCTTTGTGTGTATATTAATCTAATGTGAAGGAAATTTTGAGTAAGTTTGAAGGAGTCTTGTCTTCGTTCATAATTATAGTATAGAGTTTCGTAGACTCCATTGGAGGCCAACAAACATGATCAAGTAGGCCTATCAGGATAGATGGGGAGGAGTCTAGTCTTAATCTTTTACATTTGAAATATGACGGTGAAGAAAACAATGAGAATGAAAAGTTCAAGTAGGTTTTGCTAGTTCTACTTTTATTAGTACAATCCGGGTTGTCGACACTAGGGCTGCTCTTAACGCTCCTTGGCTCTTCCGGATAATGTCAATTATAAATCATTATATTTTTCGTTTGTTTGCATTATCTTTATTATACCTACGGTGTTAGAAGATGAGGTTAGGGTTAGGGCGACATTACATTTCTGTTAAATTACCTTTTCATAGTAGCTCTGTTTATGTTTTATTATTTTCCGTCAGTTTTAATGGGTCAAAGATTGCTGTTTTTTTTTGTTTTTTTTTTTTGTTTTTTTTTGCCTCAGGGGCTATCTGAGAGACTATTGAGTTACTTCGCAATGTTAAGCTAATTGGTAATTGAAAATACATTATGTTTAAGCTCGGCCATTTGGATTTCTTCATGCTAAGTATGATTGTATCAGACATAATCTTTTCTGGATTTATCACTTGTTTTACTAGTTTTCCCCAAAAATACTGACGCGCAATTGATGTGATATGTTAACACGAGCTAGCTCCAGTTCCTGTTAAATAAGACGGACTTACATCCTGGTTCCCATAACATCGCTACACGCTATCGACGCTGATTGGCCAATCGTGTCGGGTAGCAACAGTAAAGATTTTATGAAAAGGGGCTTTAAATGTACTTTAGCATTGTAAAGTTTGCATTTCTATCTTGTCAGTTAGTACAGCGTACATATGCTAAATTCGGTGTATGTAATTTTTATACGTAATGAGGAATATAAGCAGTAGATCGTACTTGTAGATGCCCTCTTGTTCAACAGAAACATTGACTGGAGATTAAAATTAGCGTGTTGCAGTATTTATAATCCTTGTGTATGTAGTAGAACAATACTAGTTACAAAGACTTTTCCAGAATCTACATTTTCAAATTTTTCCCGTTCAAATCAAAAAAGCGCGTCAAAATACGCGCTGCTGTCGTTAAGGACTTTTTGTGTGGTAAAGAATACAAAATTGCCTGACAACCAATACGCGCTCGTTTTGACGCGCTACTGTGATTTCACGAACTAACACAATCTACTTTGATTGTGTTAGTTCGTGATGTGAGCGACGGATTATATAATAAATATTAGCCTAACCGTAACATCTTTGCGAATAATGTAATACTATAGTGCATTGATATGTATACTTATCTTGACGTGTAAATTATTATCACAAAGACTTAACAGAAAATGATGAACTCATTCTGCTGATTAATTTAAAAAATCATTAATTCAAGTAACCTGTTATTTTAATCTCCGTATGCGTTCTGTTGGGACAATTAGTTGATCACCTTGGCTGTTAAAATTATGTTTTGAGAAAAACATATCGCTCGTGTCCATTGACTTTTGGACCAGAAGCCCTCCGCTGACTACATTTCTTGATTTATACCGTATCCAACTAAGCTAAGTCAGCCAATTTGCTTTTCTTATTGAAGTTTCATTTCTGAAAGTTATGAATAACCTGCGGATAATACATATAGCCTATATATTATGTATATATATTATATAAGCCTATGTTTGTTTTAAGTTATGAAATGAAATATATCGGTCGCTATTCCAAGGGGGAAATCAGTGGCCCCGAGGCGACTCAGTAAGGGTGAAGTATTTTGTACAATTACTAGTGTGCTATCATGCGACACGCAAATGATTTTATCTTATAATAACTCTATGGTTTTATCACATACTTGGGATGAGACATTAAAATGTCATGTAAATATAGATTCTTCGTTATTCACTAGCCCTACACATTGTCTGTGTATCGTTAACTCGTAGAAACTTCTTCCGTCAATATAGTTAAAATGCGAGTGCTAGATAAATGACACAATGAGATATGACTATTAGCGACTTAAGCGAATGTTGACGTTAAATTTTGAAAAGATGTCTCGTGATAGAAGTCACATTGTCTTTTAATCGTGTATCGGCGCCATAACAATATATTTGACCATAAGTATAAACCGGACCAACATTTAAGGTGAAACAATTGAAGGCGTTTAAGGCTTTGGTCAACACGCTTCAAATGCAAACGCAAGACGATGCGTTTCATTGTTTTCTCATTCCCCCATTGTAAAAAAAAACAAAAAAACAAAACAAAAAAAAACACAAAAAAAAACACAAAACAAAACAGAACAGAAAAGAAATCAAGACTTGCGTGCGTCAGATTACGCTTTTAACATCATGCGGTTCACACTAAGAAAATATGCATTGGTTTCTGGCGTGAAAATGTGTCTTAATTACTTTTGATCCTTTTTGTTTGATGCAATGATGCAATAATCATTTTAGCATTCACGTTCTACTAGATAAACGAAAAACAAGTTTAAATATAAAGCCAATAGTAGGATTTTACCAAAATCAACCAAAATCCGGGAAAACCCCCGAAACGCAGTATCATCCGGGATTCAAATAAATTGTTTTTCTGGTTTAATGTGGTTTTGAATAATTAAAAATTCCACATTTAACAAATAAAGCACTAGATGATGAAGGACAAATAAACATAATGACGGACCTCCGTCTTTAATACAAATTTTCTCTGGTGGATCATTATCATATTGCGTTTGATGCTACAGGCTGTCTAATTGATTTACAACTCATTGGCTCTTTTCGAGCAGCGTCTCGAATCTTCCGGTGTGTTATATTATAATATAGGCAGGCGTATATTATATAACACACGTGAAGGCGTCTGTGTGTTATATAATATAGGCCTAGTCCTGCCTAACTTATGTTCTTTCAAAAAAAATAATGCTTCAAACGTGCATATAACTGTAATGAATTTACTTTTTTGATATTACAATGGAATGATATATTTTGCGGGTGACTACAGAAGTGGGTATATATTTTGAATTTGAACCAAATCGAGGGGTACGTTTTGTAAGTAAAGATTATATTTCAATAAAGTACATTGAAGACAAAACTTAATATAATTGGCTAGTGTCTGATTCTATCAATTGACTCCTTAATATATTATACTTTAAAACTTATAATATAATATATAATATAATAGAAAATGGATCTAATGATGATTGTTGCCGTGATAATGACGATGAGAATGATGATGATTATTATTATGAGATGACCATGATGATGTCTGATAATGAAGATAATAACGAAATGATGATGATATTATATAATATAACTCAATTCTAAAAAAAACCCATAGCGTATACTAATAATAGGCTACTTAAAGGTACCGGTACCGTATTTTGGTGGTAACATGTCATGATGATATTACAATAAATGATAATGAATGAATATGATAATTTGCAATTATAATATAATAAAGTAGAAAAATTGAAATAATAATGGTGATGCTGTTAATGACGACGATGCGAATGATGGTGATTATGAAGATGACCATGACGATATATAATGAACCTAATTCTCTTTAAAAAACATAGCGAACTAATTGTTATAATTATCAGTGGCGGATTCAAGGGAAGGGGAAGCCTCCCCCTGTCCCTTAAATAAAAAAGAAATTGAGAAAAAAAACGAAGTTCTACTCAAATTTTGAGTCGAGGGTGCCATTTTCGGCCATCTAGAGGTACCATAATCATCAGGTTTCTTACCTCAGCCCCCCAACCATGGTGGGGCTGAGGTAGTATAGACCCTCCATCTGTGTAAGTCCCTCTCTGGGCCCCTCTATTTCAAACTCCTGGATCCCTCGCTGACAATCAGGTCTACCTACAATGGCTAATAGAAGCATTGTGGTGGTATAGTCGTGATGATAAAATAATTATAAATAATAATATGATAATTTGTTATTCAATGCGTATCACACTTGGTGCCTCTCTCCATGATTTATTGACTACAACCAATACAAAACAACAAATGAACACAATGGAAAACAACCTGGGATGGATGATACAGTAGATAATGAGGGGGCGCCTATTTCAATTCTCAGAATAAGCCACTTATTCATGTCATAGGTCAATTGACATAAACAAATATTTAACACGCACGATTTCGAAATCGTTGAAAATTACTTGTTACTGTACATAACAGTTTTTCATCTTTACGATATATATTAGCCGTATGATAACCATTCTTGAAACTACTGTATGAATTTTGTATATTATATACAGTGCCCCTCCAATTCGAGACCCCCTAAATTTCGAGACCTCTCTAATTTGAGACCGCTTTTCAAAGAACCCAAAAAAATCTTTTGTCTTTTACCTCATAGTGGATACCGGTCGAATCCTGAGACCACCCCAAATTTTCAAGTCCCAAAGTGGTCACGAATTGAGGGGGGGGGGGGAACGAACTAGCTAGCCTAGGTACAAGAGAGATTGGATACTAATGACGTGACAAACCGTATATAGATTAGTCTAGAATACCAGACTACAATCCCGCTAATAATTTTACGTTATAATAATGTTACAATTTCATGTAGAAAACGGTTTTTTTTTAGAACCAAAAATACGTAAGTAGAAAGTAATTTCACAACTAAATAAAGTTTGAACTTTGCTGCAACGTTGTGTCAACTTTAGACCCATGTTTGGTAGGTGTGTGCGTTTTTTTCACGAAACGATAATTTAAATGCACTTTTATTATTATGAAGTACAGTATTATCAAAATCCCCAAATCGTCCGTATCATATAAAAAAAAATGAAGTGCAATAAATAGTTGAACTAAAAATAATTGACCTTTGACATAGACATCCGCAAATTCAAATTATAATAGGCTAGTTAAGTTTATACAAATTTTATGGGACTTTTTGTGGTATTATTTTTGGATATCTATTTTCTCAGAAAATGATCAAGTAAAACAAACATGGCTGATGAGCTGATCGGGGTACGGGATCCTCAGGAAAAATTGCTTCACAGATGCCCTCTTTTGCATTCTGAGATTTCTGTTTAGAGACTAAACTGTTTAATTTCAGGTAAAATCAAAGACAAAACGAGCAGAAAAAAATGAGATGATACAGAGAGCAGGGACCCTGCCTCTAAAAAAATATTATACATTTTATCATATTTATTAATAATTAAGCCTAGTTCCATTATTGTACAGTACGGTATATCATACATGGAATAATTTAGGATTAAGTGTTCGCAGTGGGCCAGGCCTGTGTCCCTACTGACACTGTGTTTAGTCAACTTTGTCAGCTTTAAGGTAATTTCCCGTTGTTTTAGTCGTTCTTGTAGTTGAATTGTTTCCTCTTTATGACTAAAGAGGTTAATAAATGAAGATATATCATATTCATGTTCTAGCACATTGTGACGGATAGATAAAGGGTAATTTAAATAATGTAATGTGTATGTGAAGATCGGCTTTGTGAACATTGTCTCGATCTGATAGGCTTAGATGCTCAGATGCTATACAAACCGGATGCACCAGTCAGTTATAAGGAAACCACAAAACCCCAGAGAAAAATAATGGAGGTTTTTTTTTTATAAGTAGGCCTACGAGATCCCTACGATATCTACGGTTAGGTAATATAGGTAATTTGCTGCATGTTTTTAGTCCTATATGATGTTATGTGATAAGGATTTTGTCAAATCGTCTGCCTATGCAGACGCAATATGTATCAGATTCGGTAGTTAAATATGAATAGAATGGTAATATAAACCGCATTGTTGATGAACACGGTGCATGGGTTGAAAATTAATGTCGACATTCATTAATTTCCCTGTAAAGCACATGTTGTACACATTCGATTAACACTGGCATATAAACATCAGATGAGAAAAAATGTATTTTCTTAACTTAGCCTAATATAGGCCTATCGCGTGACCAATGGTTTTGCCAATGGGTGGCAGAGGGCCTTGGCTTCGTCGGAAAGAGGTACATCTTCCCCTGTCGTTTAGCTCAACACAATTCGGTGGGGGGGGGGGAGAAAAAAATCTCACGTAATCTTTGCAGATTATGAAATTCTAAAATCGATTAAGAAAGTATAACTTTAAAAGCAAGGGCTTTGGGCGGCCACGGGCTCCACCACTTAGGCCTACGCTATCGTCTGTGACATCGGCTTTCTAGACAGGAACATACCACCACCCTCTTGCAGGGAAAATTCTGTCGCCACCACTGCCCTTTCAGGTTTATACATAAACTGCAATCAATTTCTGATGATTTCTAAATCCTGTGGTGGTGGCGAGAGCATATTAAAGGAAAAAAGCACGTGGATACACATTATGCTAATTTATATGTAATGAGGCAAAACGATAGGAAAATATTCAGAAACCACATAGCCTATATACGGCCATGTAAAGAGTATTCTACGTGCACAAGAGGCTTTGTATGGTAAGTTTTCTTCCTTTATTTTTATAAAACGTTTAATAGGCAAATTTAACCTTAAGACGGTTTGTCGTCCCGCAGAGTTTGTGGCCCTGCTTCTAAACCTTGTGGTTGGAGGTTCAATCTCTCGCTGTGCACCTCGATTGTATCCTTAGGAAAAGAAGACAATTTACCTTGTTTCATTCACGGTCAATTTCCTTTGTTTGACTTAAATGGTTTATATCTGTCTCTTATACACATCTAGATGTGTATAAGAGACAGATTATATACAGTGCCCCTCCAATTCGAGACCCCCTAAATTTGATGATTTAAAGAGCCAAATTTGTTTCCTTTGTTTGACTTAAATGGTAGCTGGATAATCAACCTAATTTAATAGGTATGATCCGAGGGAAATTTATAGGAGGCCTAGATTATCACTTGGTTCCGGTACCGTATCGAACCGTTTTTCACATTAAACGTGCATGAGCAGTAAGCATTAACCTTAGGATTTTATCTATCCCCCACAAATTCTAACATCCAACCTCTAGTGCCCTGCTTTCCAAACGTTTTTCTCCGGGACCCAATTTGTGATTTCCCAGACAAGCCGCGACCCATGTAAGATAAAATGTCATAGTAAATTGGACATTCACCTTTATAAGATCCCACCTGTGATGCTTTATGTTGTAAAAAATGAAGACATTAGTATTAACAGCGTTTTTTTTTTGTTAATGATCGTCCTTTTCAGAAAACGGTGGCGAATACAGGAATTTGTTTCACAGTGAAGGTACATCCACCTCAGCCCCACCTTAGTTGGGGCTGAGGTAAGAAATTTTTATGATTCTGGCACCCGTAGGTGGCCGGAAATAGCACTCTCAGATTAAATTTGAATACAATTTTCCCTTTATTCTTCATTTCCCCCCAACCCACACTCTGAGTCTTAAAACCCATGTGTTTACCGATGGCGTATTCAGAATTTAAGGAAGGGGGTGCTGAATGGAATGGGGTTCCACGCCACGTCAGCGCCACATTGCTTGGCGGTGACATGCGAACATTTTCAGTATTTTGTACCTCTGGATGCCTGGAATGGGACTTCTAATTCTTTTTATTTTTGACAAAGTGGGTAAAAAAAAACTCGAATTAATTAAATAGGTACCCGAAAAGGGCACTTAAATACTCACAGTTGCAAAAACTACCATATCCACCTGAGCCCCAACCATGGCGTGGAAAGAAGGAAATTTTATGAATTTGAGCATAGTTTGGGAAACGTGGCTCTAGTGAATTTTACAAAGAACTCGTAATGATTCAAACCTCAAACAGAGCTATAATTAAGTCTTATCGTAATTTGCACACTAACGGAGCTTAAAACTTAAAACTCCTGACAGTCGACATTATTATTGGAAATAGAGGGCGCAAACACATAAAAGGCAAACGAATCATTTGACGAGAAAAACTGAATTTCTAACCATTGTTCTCAACAAATTATTTATATATTGCCTTTACATGTGCATGGAAGACCTAATATGATTATAAACTTTCTAAATAATCACTTTTGGAGTGATTTTAAATAAAGGTTTCATTCCCCTCCTCTTCATTTTATTATCCGAGATAAATAGATAGGCTCGGGCCTCGCGCGCCCGGCCGCTTAGAATGTAACCATTTCGCTTGGTATTTGAAAGCGTTACTGTCAATGTATGTTAGTTAAAGACAGGGGTGGCACCAGGATTTGCCAGACGGGGGTCCGAGGTCCCGACGAGAGCAAAGTGGGCGTGGTCGAACGTCGCTTAAAATGATTTTAAGTGGTCCAGTGGGGCGAAGCCCCCCAAAAGTTTCCCCAAAAAATTCAGGAGTTTCAAAGGCTTATTTAATCAACTTTAGAGTATACTAATATGTAATAATAATAATAAATAATAATAATACACATTTTTAAAGCGCCTATTAAAGCAAACAAAACTGGCTTGTCACCGGCGCTGGAGGATGTTAGAAAGAAGTTGAACTATTTGAAGAGGAATGATTTAAGAGTAGATTGGGGGGGGGGGGGGGGGGGGGGGGAGGCCCTGGTCCCCTCCCCCGCTGGCGCCAACACTGGTTAAAGGGAGTTGAAATAAAGCACTTTTTCAGCTTATCGGTTCATACAGGTATAAAATTTTGCAAATCTGTATGTAGGCCTACATTGATTATATTGTAATCGATTTCAAAAAGTGTTCATACTTACGGTACAATTAAATGGTTGATCGATCGACCAAAGTACAGTCTGAATTTGGTATTGTTATAAGCTTTAAAATTATGGGTCATTGACAGGAATTGATTTACTTTTTGCGAAAGTTATGAGAGAAAAGTATTACGGCTTCTTTGTAAAGTATACACACTGCCATATTCTTATGCTAATGCCTACTCTGTTAGTGACAGTACGCTGGGTTAGGGAAGGGATGCTTCATGTGGACGAACTGCTCCGATGACGTCAACAGTTCACATAATACAGGTGATGTGTTGTTGTGAATTACTCTTCCATGTGTTTTGACCAGACAATTGACAGAATATAGTTATCACCAGGTGACGTAAACCGCCAATAAATTGAAACTGAGATAACACAAAACCCATTAACATCCTCTTGTAATATTAACCTCTGTTTATTTCTATTTTTGTTTTGAGTTTTATCAAACATACCTTTCCGATAATATTTATAATAGATTGTATAAATATCAATTTTAAAATTACTTTTTTTTTAAATAGAGCATACACACACTTATAAACTGCGACGACACATTACATATGAAACTTATCTCACCAATAAACTGAAGTATTTGCGCAGGGGAGTACAGTACAAGTGCGTGAAGCGTGGTTAGAAACGTAAATATTGCGTGGCATGATGTGATATACTATTGCCTCGCTGACCTCAAACGAGTATTTCCAAGGTAAATTTTTACACGGTTAGACAAGATAAGTTTGTGCTCGAATGCGGGGACCCCCGTGGTGTAAAGCCGTGCGTTTACCTGTCATATACACGGAATTTAATAAGCGTGTATGGCTCGAACGCACCCTTAGTTTGAATTTCGCATGCCCGTTATCCAAAGTCACTCGACATTGTGTATGTTTGTGCAAGTCGACTGACCTTCATACGGGTATGCGCAGTTCAAACTACGAATGACTTATTAAAAGTGGTATTCTTTCGTGTTTTCGTCATAATAATTCCATCCTTCAGATGCTTGTGTAAAATCCAAACATCCCAAACTCGCCATAACTATGGTGTAGCGTCTCTCATTTCTCGTATCTCTACAAGAGTCCGATGACGTAATCGCATGTGCGTACATTGCGAACGCGCACATAAGAATACCACTTATGTAAGACAATAGAGAAATAATTTTCATTTAAAGCCTGGCGCATCACAGCACGTCAAGCGACCGCATCGGCACACGAAATATATCGACACTGTATGTGCCCGACGCAACGCCAGACGGTTGACCGTCGGCACTAGTCTGAGCGGAACGTCGTAAAAAGTTATCGGTCGCGCCACGCACCGTGCGTTTAGCAGACTTTAGATGTATTAAGCCCTTATTCAAGGTGAGTAATTTAACAGGGTATAGTTTTTGCTATAAATACAGGCGTCACATTATCATACCAAATAGCACCATGCAACATTATAATATTTAAACTTCTTTTTTTCTAATATTTAGTTTTCAACCAAGGTAGGCCTATGTAAAGGTAGAAATAGTAAGCAATCCTCTAAATGCAAAAGCATGATTTGCAACCTAGTAGAGTGCCTAGAGGGCTCACTCAAATTTTACTACTTTCCGGTCACTCTTTTTATTCATAAATTAGTTGCACCATTATACCTCCATGGTTACACATTTAGTAGAATTCTGTGTAGATACAATGGTAATTTCACATTTTTACTCTTTCTAATTCACTTTATTGGTGTGAACCCTGTAGTCACGCTATCTTCACTCCTTTGCATTTACAGCGTATAGATCTAGCGGTAGGATAAACCCCATTATATACGGTAGGTCTAGTACAGAACAGAATAAGCTATCTACCTCGTGGTCACTCGAAGGGGAGTTAATAAAATTGTAGCAAAATGCTTTGAACAAACAGTATAAAAAGAACTCGTAACTAATTTGTACTGAACACGCGTGGCAAGACACAAATCAAACCGTTTTAACAATCTGCCTTTGACATCATGCTTCTGTCGTCGGTTTGAATTTTGTATTACTGTTAAAATCTTACTGTAAACTTTTCGGTATTACTGTTAATTTTTTTTCAAAAGATTTGACATGCACTACGTGGATGGTACTAGATTCAGATATTTCACTGGCTGATGAAAGTCTATCTTAAGTTTTCTTTAATAGTGACCATTATTCCTCCTACTGATACATCGGTCACGAGCACACTATTAAGAAGAGTATTTGATGGCCGCCATATGCTCATTCGGTCCCGTTTATTGTGAAGAGCCTGTTTCTCTGCCAGAAGTTTGTAGTCTGGGAAGCGCCTTTGTTTATGGTTGTTGCTAACTGGGTTGGGCTGTTCAATTACGGGTTGCGTTGGAGTTATTATCGGGGCTGGCGGTGGTATTTTCAGTGGGTGTTTTCTCGGGCGCCCTCGCTTTCTCCTCACTGGGATCGGGATTATTTCAGGTACGACGGTAACTGGCTGAACTGGAATCAACGATTTCGAGTTCCCGTTTGATGTTGTGACTTCCTCTTTCGGTTGGTCAACTACATGTTCTGCTTTTGCGGCTTCTGCAGCTGCCAATAAAGACGCCTGGAGTTGAGCTTCCAACTTAGCTCGCTGTTTCCAATGAAGTTTTTTTCTCTTTCGTTCTTTAAAATGTAGCGGGTTCTCATCTTTCTTCCGTTTGCCTTCTTTGATCTTCTTATTGACAAATTTAATAAGCAGCTTAGGGCGGCCTCGTTTTGCTTTAGGTTTTGTCTCAACGATGGAAAGTTTCCCCTTTTTCTTCTTGACCTCGTTGTCGTCAACAACAGAAGCAAGTTCGTAGCACATTTGAATCTCTTCCGTCGGAGGATTTGTTATTGTGTTTACTCTTGACTCACTCTGATATATGACGTCACCGTTCGATGCATCGTGAATTGTGTGTTCTTCTCCTGCTAATATTCGATCTTGTGCCTTAGGTGGATGGGTACTGTGACAGCGTGCTTCGATCGATTCGACTTCCTGTAAAATTTCATCCAACGGTGCAATAGACTGAGTCGCCTAAACATGACAATTTTTTTAAAATCAAAACAGGTTGTAAATATTTGCTTGTAACAGAATCTTTGCGTATTTTGTGTACGTTGAACAAAACATGTACAAGGCATGTAGACAAGTCCATTGCTTTCATAAATATACACCTTTATAAAGTTTTAATCTACGTGTCTCATTGTTATAAAGTTTTGCTTCAATGCTTGAGATATAGGCTATACACATATATACATTAATATATATATATATATATATACATATATATATATATATATATATTTATGAAAATATTAAAAATCCATAGTATACATTAATATATAATAATCTATAATATACAATAATACATATACATAAATACTGTAGGCCTATATATATATATATATATATATATATATATATATATACTGTAGTAATATGTAAATAATCAAAATCAATAGTAGGAAAATAGTAAATGAAAGAACAGACGAGGTATTTGCTGCAATCTATTATTATAAGAGGTGATAGCTTTTTAGACCTATGATCGAAAAATTTACTACCTCGTCTGTTGTTTATTTATACATAGGCCTATATAGGCTAATAATGTTTATGTAGGTGCATATATTATATACATACTATCAATCACTATATATAAGGCATGTGCAACTACAAAATACCCAGATTTTATTTATATATATTCATTTATTTATATATTTATATAAACTTATGCAAGTCTTATAATATTGTGGACTATGAACTTCTAGCATTAATACATTATTGTTGTCATATTGTTTAATCAATGAGATAAAGTTTAACTTTAATAATGTTGCTGTCATCAGACTAACCTGAACTATTTTCTTTCTCCGCCGTCTTCTTTTCTTAGGCTGCTCTGCCTCAAGTTCTTGCTGCCTATGAAGACACAATGTAAGCATAAAACGTGGCATAAGAGATCGTAAGATGAGATGCAGTGTGACTGTCGGATATACTGTGCTATTTTGCTGAGAGAAGCTATACGACAATCTCAGTATGCTGTTGTGTTAAATTACACTCTGTTGTAGGCTAGCTAGAGGCCAGGCTGAACTTACCGCTCGAAGGCCTTGAACAGTCGTTCATCCAATATATTTTCCTTCGGTTCCCATGTGCTGTACCTTGGATACAAATTTAAAGAAGTTATGTTAAAAGAACGAATTATAATATTTAGAGATATCTAGCCGATTATAAATTTAACTTACTTGACCGACCATCCTTTCCATTTGATTAAGTATTCCTCCTGATCCTGCGGAAAGAGCACAAAGAACGCAATTAGGCCTGTAACAAAGAAACGAGAAGCACGCTTTTATTCTGACGCCTAGGCTAAAAAAGGAATACTGTTATATTAGCTAAATACGTACGTTAACTGTTCTTTTCTTCAGCACAGCCTCGGCAGCATAAACACTTTCGCCTATACTGCTCAGCTCCATGCTCTCTTCATGCCTAGCCCTTCGAACCATCTCTGTTTTCTCCGACCTCTGACACCATGTAATATAATTCAGACGATAGTAAAAGGCTTACTGCATGAAGCACAACAACCGTATCGTCTGCTCTTGAGCACTCTCTCGGCTCAAGCTAATACTAGCCTAGCCCAGGCTAATGAATGACCTACTTTTGACACTGGAACACAAAGACCTGCGTTAACTCTTTAGCTCTCTAATCTCTAATCTGAACTATATCCAATGTTGTTTTTGACTCAAAAAGCAATAAAAATTTATCAACTGGAAGTGACCTGAACTGCATATCATTATCATCAATAATCATCGATAATGGTGACATTTTACTACAAAAATGAACGCATTTTATTCAGATAAACATATAGAATTAATATAAACCTTATTTTCATTAAACAAATATTTCTAATTAAAAAGTACGATTTATTAGTTCATGGACTTTATTATTATTATTGTATTTATGATGTTTTCCCATGATGTATTTATGATTTACTTCTAACTGTTCCTGCGTCACAGTCAATTCGTATCCGGCAGTTAACCCAAATACTAAACATAAATATTTATCAGTATTGGCCTACTGATCCTTAAAAATATTGTGAATAGAACAGACCGTCAATTCTGTGTAGGCCTATATTACCCAAAATTGCTCTGCTAAAGATAAAATGCTGTAACCAGAGCAAAAGTGATTTTAACAATGTTGGCAAAGAACTCGGGGAATTTTTTGTTAGGCCTATAGTGTTTTTGTCTTTTATAATACCGCACGTCACATTGTGGGCGAACATATTATGTGGGCAAGCCAATAAATTGTATCCAGTTATGTATCTCACTTATGTACTACCAGCAATTGATGAAACATTTTGCCATTGTGCAATTTGTACTAAATTGACTTAATCGAAATTTCCTGAAAATATTATGTTCCAGGCAAAACCAGTAATCGTATATGTATGACCGACATTGGATGATGAAAGTAATCGTAGGCTAGGATAAAAAAAATTTAAACTTCTTTTCCTTCTTCCATAAGTAGAAAGACAAGAAATAAGCATTCTTCAGAAGGTGACTACTTTGAAGCACTCGATTTTTTTAAATACCATATTTTCAGGAACACCAACAACTACCCTCTTCGGGTTGACAATTTAAGAAGATAAATCGATTTCAAATTCCTCCTTAAAAATCTTCCACCTCAGGAGTGCATTCCAGCTCGTTAAGAAAAGGAGGGAGGGAGCGGATGTGCGAGCGGAGCGAGCCTCGGCAGAGCCCTGTTTAGGGTGTGGAAAGTGGAAATAAACCCCTAGCACCTTCGTTAATTTGGGTTGTATAATAATTGATTTTTTACTATTTAGCATGGTAATTTCTTATAAGCTACCGTATACAACAAGTATTTTACGAAAAATATGGGGGAGCGTGCGCCCCTTACGTCATTGCACTTCTTTATCAAACCCATATTCCTAATCCTATATGTTCTCAGGTCGGGACGGTCTCCTATTTCTCTGTTCAATTACTCTCTTTGTTCTTCTTTGTCCGTTGTTCTTACCACTTGCCCTACCTATTTCCACTTCTGTTTTGACAATTTTATTTTGATCCGGTTCTCCGTCACCGTTTCCTTGTTGCGCCGCTTGCATTTTGTCTAGAATACGTATGTTTAACTTGAGTCTTTTTCCCATTGACATGTAGGCCTAGCTTTTCTGTGGAATTTTTGTTGAGGTGCCAGGTTTCTGAACCACTATCATAATATATTTAATATTTACTTTTATAGTTTGATATTTATAGTCAATCTACGAAACTTATTATTAGGGGTGGCGCCAATGGAGGAACCCCGCGTCAGAAGAACCATAAATCGTCGGGGTGAAGAATTCTATGTAATTTCTACAGTTTGTAGAAATCGACAAATAAGCCTTTAAAATTCAACATTTGTTAAAACATTTGGGGCTTCCTCCTCTGGAACTCTCTCAAATTGTTCTGAGTAGCTTCGCTGCTCGGGTAAATCCTGGTTTCATCTCTCAGACATAACATTTAATCCATATAGACGTATCATAATTAAAATAATGAAGCTAGTAGTAGCCTTAAGTAACATGGCGGCTTCTCTGTGTTGGACTTATAGTTATCTGACAAGCACAGACCAGACTCGTGATCTAGGCCTATTAGATATTCTGTATGAAATGTTTATATCAATCCAATGACCTATTATAGTTGAGGTCACAATTGATAAGAATATTGATTTATCAGGAAATGCAGATCCAAAGCCAATTGACAAAACATTACTGAAACCTTGCATAGCAAATTAAATGCAATTGGAACTATGTTTTCTTATCCTATATGTTTACATTGTTGTTGTTTTTTTTTTATTTCGCGATTTTCCTATAAAAAATCCCATTACTTACTGTTCGCGTTAATAATCATGATTAAACCATGGACTTATTAAATAGGTCCATGATTAAACTAACAAATTTAAATGTACGGGCTGATTACCCGGTATTCATATTTGTACTTCTTAGTATTATTATGTTAGGGCCTTCAACTTTTCCTATGGGGTATATTTTCCTGCTTCAAAGTCATTTATTCCATCCGTTTCTAAGTCTTAAATTTCAGTTATAACATGGTGTACAAAACAGTACGTATACAATCATTAAGTATACACTTATATACATTATCCCACATTAGAATTCGTAAACAGTATTCCTGTGGGGTATTTACAAAAATTGGGGGTTTTTTTACTGTATTTGTGTATTCTCCACTACACTACTACTTTAAATAGTACTGCACTATTTTAAGCTTATAAAGATATAAATGCCATTCGAATGCAGATGGGCCTATTGTGATTCGGAAGAGCTATAGATCCAATGAGAAATACAATTAAAAAGTGTTACTTTTATCTTCCTCATATTTTAGTTTCATTTTATAGTAATGCACTATTTTAAGCTATTTTATAGTAATGCACTATTGCATTATATTTGCCATTTCATAGTAATGGACTATTTTAAGCTATATAAAAATTGAAATGCCATTCGAATGCAGATAGACCTAGGCCTATTATGATTTGGATAAGTTAACATGGCCTAAAATTAATAAGATATTACCTTTATCTTCCTTATATTTTAATTTCAATGCATAGTAATGCACTATTTTAAGCCATTTAATAGTAATGAACTATTGCATTACATTTGCAATTTCATATCAATGCACTATTTTAAGCCATATAAAAATAAAAATGACATTCGAATTCAGATAGGCTTATTGTGATTAGGATGAGTTAACATAGGTCGAATAAGAAATACTGTACAATTAAAAAGACATTACCTTCATATTTTAGTTTCACTTTAGTAATAATGACAAAAATACAATTGATTATGGATCACAACATCTACCGTTTCTTATCGGAAAGTTCCTAATAAGATGGCAATTTATAGCTCATGGTTAGTTCAATGCAATAACGAAAGTACAAATATAAAGGTCTATATTGATGTAGATATCCAAATATTCTTTGCAAAGGCAACATTTTACCCCAAATATTCAATAGCAAGCTATAGAAACTTGTATTAATAATTTGCCAAGCGGAATAATAATAATGATCCTTTACAACGACAGCAATAACAATAATAACGGCCATGATATGCCTATTATTCAATTGAATTACTGAAAAACAACAATACTCTGGTGAAAATTTGAATCTCGGTCGATGTACAAACATTTATAAGCAAACGGCTAACAAGTAAAGATAGAACCAAAGCTTTCAAACAACACTAGTCCTTCCCCCAATGGTATTGCGTGTTGTTCTATCTGGAGCTGATCGATAACACATCAATATTTCTTGATCGAGAAGATCAAGATGATCAAGATCAAGAAGTTAAAAAAACAGTACAATGTAAAGAAATGTAGATGATTTGAAGAAGGCATAGCCAAAAAAGCAAAGCTTGTGACAGGCATGCTTAGACAATATGACAAAAAATAAAAATAAATAAATAAATAAAAATAAATAAAAAAATAAAATTGTATTTAAAAAAAATAAATAAAATACGTAAATAAATAAACAAATAATTGAGTAGGTAAAAATCACTTTAAAAAAGTACAAAGTACAAAGTGATCAAGAAGATCAAGATTAAGAAGATCAAGAAGATCAAGATCAAGAAGATCAAGAAGAGCAAGATCAAGAAGATCAAGATCAAGAAGAGCAAGATCAAGAAGATCAAGAAGAGCAAGATCAAGAAGAGCAAGATCAAGAAGAGCAAGATCAAGAAGATCAAGAAGATCAAGAAGAGCAAGAAGATCAAGATCAAGAAGATCAAGAAGAGCAAGATCAAGAAGAGCAAGATCAAGAAGATCAAGAAGATCAAGAAGAGCAAGATCAAGAAGATCAAGATCAAGAAGAGCAAGATCAAGAGGCAATATAATAGTGGCCAAGTGACCTTTCATACAGAAGAACGTCCCGAATTTAAATCCTGGTTGAGACACTGTCTGATTCCCTCTTTATTTGTTGAAAATCTTTACACAGCGATCACAAGATGGGTTAGTTTATCTCTTTTTTTGTATTACAATTATAGGCAAAAGCAAACATGTAAACGTTTGACAGCGATAGATATAACCTAAACTTTCGAACAACACTAGTCCTTCTTCAGT